CCCCCCCGGTCCCGCCCCCCCCCCCAGATGCTCGGACCCTCCAGAGCTCGCCTGGCGTCTGTGAGTGGGTCACGGGGATTTCTGCCTTCCCAGGGATTTCCCTGAGAGTGCTTCTTTAGAAGTATCTCACCTCTTAGTTTCAGGTATCTGCTTGCTTTCCTTTGCCTTCATTTTTATTTTCAACTCAGACTCCCATAACTGGCATTTGCACGACCCCATCCCACGCCGTACACACATTTTCCATGTCAGTATTAGTCTTCATTTGCTCCCCGTGTCGCACGGATGCACCGAGCACATGAATAAGCTCCGTAAATCCTGTCACCTCACTGCAAAACCCAGACTAGCTCCTTAAACTCCCATGAGAGTTCAGTGGGGCTGGGGCTCCCCCTCACCCCGCACCATCCCTTTCCCACCCCGGCCTGTCGGAGACCGCACCGCGGCTGCTGGCATCACCGTGCATCCAGAGTGATGTCGGTGTCGCTGCAAGCAGGATTTATCCTGCGTGGGTCAATAACGTGTTTTGCTGGTGGGTAACTGACATGAAGGAGCTGGGATTGAGGTTTTGCCATTCAGTGCAGAAGGAATTGGCTTTGGCTGGTGCCGGGGCGAGCTCTGCCAGCCCAGCGTGAGAGCACACGGTGGGAAGATCTGGGCTGCGCTGATGTACGACACATTTCAAGGGTTTTGGCCACCTCTTCTTGTTGTCAGGGTCCCCTCTGCCGAATGCGGACTCCAAAGACCAGCCACCTCCCACCCTCGCAGTGTGAACCTGCCCTGCCTCTGCCCCCAGGGACCCCCAGCAGTGCCCGGGGTGCTGCCATGCCCCTGCCCTGGTGGCTCGTCCTCCTGGCCAGCCTCATCCCACCAGGTAAGGTACCACGGAAAGACCTGCTGCCTTCTGCCCCGCCGGCACGGTCCGGTCCCCTGCAGGGGCTGGTTGCCTGGATTTGCACCAGGATGGGTGGGAATGGGAGCTCTGATGCCCTGGTCCTGCCAGGAGCCGTGCGTGATGCCTGAGGGATGGGCAGGACAGGCTCTGGGGACCCTGAGGCTGGTCCTGGCTCCTGCAGACCACGGCACAGCAGATGCTCTGGGGAGATTTGCTGGCATGTGCTGCATCGCACCGCGCTCCCACATAGCAGCTCTGCCCATGCTCCCGATGGGCAGGCGCGTGGTGCCCGTGGGCAGGGATGCAGCTGGGCTCCGGCATGGGGTGGCAGGGGGACAGCCAGGGCATGACAGAATGGACAAGGAGCCAGAGAGGGGGGTGAGGAAACAACTTTTGGAGGGCCAGGAGGGCAAATTTTCCTTTTTTACTAGTTTTTTTAGGCCTCTGCTTTTCAAATCCGGCTGTTGCCTTGCACTGTCCGAAAGCAGCACCCACAGATCCAGCTTTTCCCCGTCATGTCCCCCTTCTCCACCTTGAAATTTTCCCCTGGGGGGTTTTGTCTTACCCATCCACCCTATCCTCCTCTCTCACCTCTCTCCCCCCCGAACCCCTTCCTGCCCGCCACGACCTCCTGCCTGTTCAGGCAGCTCAGGAGATGTGACACAGCCCCAGTGGGTCCCAGGAGGGGAGCAGGGGTCTGCAGACCATACGGCTGGGACAGCTCGCAGCAGGCCCCCCGCACGGCTGGCACCCTGACGACCCCCCCTCCTCCAACACAGCCCTCGGCTCGTGGGGGGTCACCTACCCCGAATCTGTGCGGGGCGTCAGGGGGTCCTGCGTGGTGGTTCCTTGCACCCTGAGCTACCCCACCGACGTGACGGCCAGCGACGGCATCGTGGCCATCTGGTACAAGGATTACGACGCCCAGAAGACGGTGGTGTACCACTCAGCAGCCCAGGAGGTGGATGCTCGCTTCAAGGACCGTGCCCAGCTCCTGGGGGACCCCGCCGCTCGCAACTGCACCCTGCTGCTGCTGGGGGTGACGCCAGAGGACAGTGGGCCCTACAGGTTCCGCTTCGAGATCATCAACGGCGACCGGTGGTCGGCGGCGCGGGATGTGATGCTGAGCATTTCGGGTGGGTACAGTGGGGGAGACACCCCCCCCCCGCCCCCAGCCCCCTGCCCCACGCAGACATCCCACCCTCTGCTCTCCATCCCCAGAGCTCGAGCACCCGAGGACTGCCACCAGCGAAGAGCAAACCGAGGGGCAAACGTCCACCTTGGAGTGTTCCACACCCTACGTCTGCCCGCTGGGTGACGTCGCCCTGCGCTGGGAGGGCTACGACCCCCAGGTCTCGACAGTCTCCAGTCGGGTCCAGCTGGACACCAGCGGGGTCGGCCACCACCTGACCCTCACCACCTCCTTCTCCTGGAAGGACCACTCCAAAAAGTTGCTCTGTGAAGTTTCTTACGGCTCGAGGAAGGCGACCGGAGAGGTCATCCTCCGGGTGAGACGTACGTGGGGCAGCTCTGCACGGGGGCTGGCTGAGTGGGGTGGGGTGATGGGGGCATCTCTGCCATGGCCAGACCACCCAGGTCCCCCTCCTGCCATCCATTGTGCCTCCTCCCTTCCCTCCTTCCCAGGGCTCCTTGCAAAAGGCTAGAGCAGAGTTTCCTCCTGCTTCTCCCCCCCTCTCCTGTTCCCCCACTGCTCTCCATGGCCAGAGCCAGCGTTGGACCCGTAAACACTGCTGAAGTGCCAGCTCCAGCTCCCTGGCACATCGTGGCACCCACTGCTGCGCCCACCCCTCTCCGCTGCTGGTGTGGGAGCTTTGCCCCCTTCCCAGCTCCCCTTTTCCCCGCACCAGACCCTCACATATAAACAGCAGGACTGGCTACGACAGCATCCCACGGGTCCTGCCCAGCCTCACCGCTGCCTGCCGTGTCTGTCTGTCCTCCCTGCAGACGCCCCTAAGGACACCCACGTGTCGGTCAGCCCCTCCACACAGAACATCCGCGTGGGTGACACTGCCTCCCTCACCTGCGAGCTGAGCAGCAGCTACCCTCCCATCTCGGCGTACCGCTGGTACAAGGATGGGGTGGCGGTGGGCAGCGAGCAGATGCTGACCCTCCGGGGGGTTCGCCGTGAGGATTACGGGCAGTACCGCTGTGAAGCCGAGAACGCCATCGGGGCTGGCGTGGCGCCTGCCATGATGCTCTACATCTTCTGTAAGTGCCAGGGGAGCTTGCCCGAGGCTGGGGCGTTGCTGGAGGAGGAGTGGGGCCATGGGAGCGGGACCAAGTTTACCCAGTCCAGACTGGGGTGGGCAGGGGCTGGCACCGAGATGGCCGGTACCGGCTGGAGGTCCAGGAGCTGGGAAGCCCGTGGTGGAGGACTGTGATGCCTCCATCACGCCATGTCTGCATCCTTCATCCTTCACGGCGCAGGGCTGTGGCAAACCCCAAAGACAGGGCAGGGAAGGATTTCCAGCCAAGTCCGAGGAGCGGAACTGGCTGCACGGCTTCGCTGCCGCTGCGGGGAAGGAGGTTGTCAGAGCTCTCAGGGATTTGGAGCCAGGGTGGTTTGTAGGGAGGGGAAGCCAAGGTCCTCCATCGGATCCTGCAGTAGAGACAAGCCCAAGACTGCCGCATCACCCAGGAGCCTGCCCGTGTCAGAGTCCCACGGGCGGCATTACCCCCCCCAGCCTGGAGCAGGTGGGGCCAGTTGGCTCCCCCCAGACCCCCCTGTGCAGACCACGAGAGGCGAAGGACGCTGCTGCACCCACCATGAGTTTTGCCCCTGGGACTTTGCATTAAAGCCTGAACTTGAACCCAAGCTGGGTTCAAGTGCCGGTGGCAGGGAACAAACCCAAACGCCTCCCGCCTCCACCACCATCCCTGGGGGATAGAGGGGCTCCTGCCTCTCCCTGGACTCTGTTCTGTGCCACAGGCTCAGGGGGCTCGGCGAGGAGAGGGGCTGCTCTCCTGACGCCGAGGCCATCCTGAACTTGCTTCCATCTCCATCAGCTGCAGAGATCTCGGTGAGCCCCGCAGCCGAGGTGCGGGAGGGGACGGCCACCACCTTGTCCTGCGACGTCCCCGGCAGGGAGGGCCAGGACCTCAACTACACCTGGTACAAGAACAGTGCCTGGCTCAAGGAGGGCACGGTGCACACCCTGCTCTTCCACCACGTGGCCGCCAGTGACGCTGGCTATTACTCCTGCAAGGTGACCAACGACCGGGGCAGCGACACATCCCAGGCCATCACCCTGAGTGTGACATGTGAGGACCCACGGCTGCTGCCAGGGGACGGGATGAGGGGGGGTCCCCACCAGACAAGGGTCTCTTTGTGCCAGGGGCTGCGCAAACCCCCTCGAGTCAAAACAAAGTCTCTGCCCCAAATGCCTTGGGTCCAGCTGACAGGGGGGTTTCAGCCCTCCTAGGTAGAAGCTGCTATAAATGCAACAATTTCTGGTCATGAGCCGCATTTGAAGGCACCATTAAGTGGTATTTGCTGCAGCAGGGACCCGTCCGTTCATTGCAGCATCTCCCGCTTCTCCACTGATCTGTTACACACCATAAACTGCTGGGAGGTTACTAACCGAGGAGCCAGCTACAATAATAACAGCTCAGGAGCTTTTGCAAGTCAGGGGGAAAATAAAATAGCCCTGGGTTTGGCTTTGACATTTCTGTAAGTAAATATAACCCGCTTACGTAAGGGGGAAAGCAGCTCGGAGGAGCAGCTGTGCGGATTGGGGCTGGACATGCCCCACGTGCAGCCGTTCAGGTAGCGGCCGCACTGCTGGGACGTCCCGAGCTGCAGCATCTTCTCCCCTCCCGCAGACCCCCCCCGGACCCCCACCATCACAATCTTCCAGGAGACGCAGGGCGGCAGGCTGGCCATCGTCCGCTGCACCGTGGACAGCCACCCGCCGGCCGCCGTGGCCCTTTACCGCGACGGCACCTTGCTGGCGGCCAGTGGGTTGCAGGCAGCCCCGCAGCAGCGGTTCGGCGTCACTGCATCCCGCAACGCCCTGCGGCTGGAGATCCGTGGCGTGGGGCCCCAGGACAGCGGGGAGTACCGCTGCACGGCCAGCAATGCCTACGGCAAAGCCAGCAACGCCAAGCAATTTGTCGCCCGTGGTGAGTCCCGCTGGTCCCGGTGCGAGGGGGCTGCCAGGCTCCTGGCTCCGGGTCTTGGGTGCCAACAAACTCCTGGGACTGGTTCTGGGGGGCTGATGCAGCAAAATCCGTCGCAAAGTTTGTCCAAGCTGTTTCTTCCCTGTGCCCGCGAGCCCCCTGCGGTGCGTGGCATCTGGGCACACAGCAGGGACCAGCTCCTCCTGCCCCATCCCCTAACCCTCCGCACCCTGAGGGTCCCCCAGCCTTGGTGGTTTGGGGTGACAGAGGCAGCAGCCATGGGAAAGGAGGAGAGGAAAGCCCCCTAAAACCATGTCCAAGAGGAGCCTCCCTTAGGATGTCCAAAGAAACCAAAACGGACCTTAAGGTCCAATACTGGAGAAAATAAACTGGAGCTGGGGTGCCACAGTGGTTAGCTGGGGTCTGTTTCAAGTTGGCCAAGATGCATCCAGCCCATCCTATCACCCACCAGCCGGCAGAGGGGACCGAACCTGTCCTGGGACCAGTTCATGTGGCTGAACGTGGGTGCCCAGAGAGAGCAAGTGAAAGCTCAGGAAAGGCTCCACTTGTCTCTGCTGGTGGAAGAGATCCAGGGTGAACGGCTCAGGTGGAGACATCCCTGCTGATGTCCAGTGTCCCCAGGGATCATCACCCACCAGAGACGCAGCCACCGATGCCACGGGTTCTTGTGAGGGAGGGGGCTGTTTGGGTCCTGCCTTAGAGGGAAACCGAGTGCGGGGCTTTGGCCGGACAGGGCCAGGGGAAAGGTGAAGGTTTGCGGCAGAGGTTTCCCTTCCCTCCTTGACATCCCTCTCCCATCCCTCCTCCAGCTACAGAGGTCCTGATCCAGCCCTCAGCAGAGGTGCGGGAAGGGGCAGCCGTCACCGTGACCTGCCTGGGGGCTTGGGGCATGGCAGAGGAGACCCTCTACACCTGGTATAGGAACAGCAAGTGGCTGCAGGAGAGCTCGACCCCGACGCTGCGCTTCCCCTTTGTCCGTGGCGAGGATGCAGGCACTTTCCAGTGCAGGATCCGCAGCAGCAACGGCAGCGACATGTCGGCGGCTGTCCCGCTCCGTGTGCTCTGTGAGTGCTGCTGGGGGGGTCTCCCCCAGCTAATGCCCAGGAAAGCAAGGGGGGTCCTGGGTCCGGGCTGGGTGGTCCTGCTGGGAAGCCCCTCTGCTGTTCCCACCCCGAGGTTTCCCTCATCACCGCCGAGCATGGCCAAGGAGTTTGTGAGCAGAAATGGGGGAAAGGCAGAAGTTTCCCTTTTGCAGGTAAATCTGTGAATTTGGGGGAGGAGAAACTTGGAGAATCCCAAATTTCCCAAAGAGTTTTAAAATGTCCCGTGAAATTAAATTTGATTTCTCAGAACAAGAAATGATCCCTGTGAAAAATATATTCCAGTTGGATTTTGCCTTCCAAATATTTTCTGTGCTGTAAAATAAAAATCTTCCCTGATACCAAACCAGAAAAAATACAATTAGGAAGTTTCAGTCCTGACAAAATGGCATTTTTCTGTAGCTGTGGTGAGAAATGTGGATCACAACTGGCCCCCAGATGCCTGAAACACTGGGGTCTCTGCAGATCTGCCCCAGGGTTTGGGATAGGGCTGGGCACCTGCACTCAGACCCTGAGCTCAAGCCAGGTGACAACAGAGGTGCCACCAGAGGTGCCTGGGGCATGCAGGTCCCTTGCAGAGAGCCGGTAGATGTGGGACCCTGGGGTCTGGCAGCTGGAGGGTCATGGGATGCCCAAGAACTGCTCAGGTGGCACTGGAATGCAGCAATCCCTCGGGTTCTTGGGGTTCTCCCAGCCTCAGGAATCCATAATATTCTCACCAGAGGTGTTTTAACCCTGCAGTCCCACCAAGGCAACCGGTGATGAGCTCCTTCGTGGAGACCCAGGGCGGGCGCCTGGGCATCATCCAGTGCACCGTTGAGAGTGACCCAGAGGCCAACCTGACCCTATGGAGAGGAGAAGAAGCGATAGCCTGCACATGGGGCTGCCCCCCAACCCCCAACCCCAGGGTCCACACCACCTTGTCCTACAACAGCCTGAAGGTGGAGATCCAGGAGGTGGTGATGGAGGATGAGGGGACCTACGTGTGCTGGGCTGGGAACCTGCAGGGCAATGCCAGCGCGGCCGTGGACTTCAGGGCTGAGAGTGAGTGTGATGGAGGGGTGATGGGCAGGATAGAGCTGGGTGCCACATGTCCCTGCAGCCTCTGGGAAAATGCTGGGGGAGGGGGGGGTGGGAAGGGAATGCCAGGGAAGGAGACAGGCTGAGGAGGTCAAGGGTGATGGTGGCAGAAGGACAGAACGAGCAGAAGTAGGCCACATGCCCATGAAATCCAGGTTATCAAACAGCATCTGTCTTGAAAGAGCTGCTGTGCACAAGTCATCGGATGCTAGGGTGGAGCGTGAGTGGGATTAAAGTGGGGGCTGCTACAAGAGGGGGCTGTGCCAGCCCCTCCAGCCTCTCCTGGTGGGTTTGGAAGACTCCCCTATGGCCACAACAAGGGCTCCAGCTCCTGGCAGGGATTCACTGCTGACCCCTGACTATGTGTGACCAGGGATGCTGAGCAAAACGCTGCTGAGGGAGTTCCCACGAACCCCCTCCTGCCAGTACATCATCCCTGGGCTGGTAAGGCAGGGTGCTGCTCCAGCTCAGTGCTGTCCCCATCACAGCGTTGCTGGCCGGCCTCAGAGGGGGTTGTTCACCCCTAACGCTGCCGAGGAGGTGCTTGCTGTCCTGGCTGAGTTCACGGTGCAGCCTATTTGCCTCCTGCCTCTGCCCCTGCCCGTAGCTGCCAGCATCGCCGTGGCTCCGTCCTCCCACGTGCTGGAAGGCCACGCCGCCAACCTGACCTGCCGGCTGAGCAGTGACTCCCCGGCTCTGCCCAACTTCACCTGGTACCGAAACGGGCAGCGGCTCACCGAGGGCTCGGCCGCCTCCCTGGTGTTTCGGCAAGTGGCCAGCACGGACGCGGGTCTCTACCGCTGCACAGCCACCACCGACGGCAGCAGCCGGAGCTCCCCCGCCGTCTCCCTGGATGTGCTGTGTACGTACGGGCTGCTGGGGGACGCTCCGTTTATTGGTATATCGGATTTGTAGCTTATGTCTATGCAAGCGTGCCCAGCTCTGATCACACACGCATGGCTGTGCCCGGGGCCTGGACAGAGCTGATGAGAGTGCACGTGTGGATCTTTGAGTACATATGTATGTCCTGGGGCTTCCTCCCGTGGGCGTCCATCCCTCTGTGCCACCGTCTGCAGCATCTTTGCTTTCCTATTGAGCAAGCATGTACTTAATGTGTGCATGGGCATGAGATCCTGCGGGTGTAAAGCTTGTATACATTTGAGGGCCACTGCGTGGTATAGCACACCCCAAAAAGGGTGGCTGCTGTGGGTGGGGATGGTGTGGTCACCCTGGGGATGGTGTGGTCCCCACAGGTCCGGTAGAGACCTTCTTCCCTTCCCTTCCCTTCCCTTCCCTTCCCTTCCCTTCCCTTCCCTTCCCTTCCCTTCCCTTCCCTTCCCTTCCCACTTTTCCTTCTCTTTCCGGGAGGCCCCAGGAGATCTCACGTCGGGGAGCGCTAGCTGCTCAACCGCCGTTCTCTGCCCCGCACAGACCCCCCCCGGGACCCCCACCTGACGGCATTCCTGGAGACGGAGAGAGGCCGCCTGGCCATCTTCCAGTGCTCGGTGGCGAGCAACCCTCCCTCCCGGCTGGCCCTTCACAGGGGCGAGGAGCTGGTGGCCACCAGCGACGCGGGGACCAGCCCCAGCCCGCGGGTCAGCAGCTCGGCAGCCCCCAACTCCCTCAGGGTGGAGGTCCGGGAGGTGACGCCGGCGGATGAAGGCAGCTACCGCTGCACCGCCACCAACGCGCATGGCACCGCGGCCCGCCGCCTGTATTTCCGCGTGCAGAGTGAGTACCATGCACCGGCCGGCTGATGCCGCGCGGCATCGTGGTTAGACCCGCACCAGCGGGTGGGATGGTCCCTGCTGGGGGGGGGTGTCCTGTGCAGGGGCTTGGGTGTGATGAGCTGGGACCTGGTGGTCTGGACCGGGGGGTTTTCTGGCTGTGGGTGGGCATCGACGCCTAACCAGTACCCAGACCCTCTTGCCTCTGCACCCATACCCAGTTACCTGGTGGGTTAGCGGGAATCCTGGGCTGAATTCATTTCTTGGGTTGGGATCTGGTCCTTAGACTGATCCATCCAAATGTGTCTCTGTCGAGGTGTCCACAGGGGAGCCGGTGTCTGCGCTCCCACCCGCTGCCGCTGGATCCCATCCAGGCTCCGGCTGCTGCTCCGGAGGCACCGGCTCACCCCCCTGCCCCGCATCAAGCACCTGTATTCAAACACCTCAGCCCTGGGCACCACAACTGATGGAGTCCAGGGGGGTCAGCTAATGGGGACAGGGAGCAATGTGTTTTCTTAAAAATAAATGTCCAGTGCCAGCCCCAGGGCTGCAAGCGTCCGCAGCCTCCCCGGTCAGAACAAGAGCACCAAAACTTGCAGCGCTATGACGCACGCTATGGAAGTGATGAGGGTTTTGTTTCCGTCCTGTGCCATGTCAGGGCCGCTCAGGGACCGGCGGTGCCAAGCTCCGCTGCGATGCCCTCTGAGCCGGCATCATCATCTCTCCGTGCTCCAGCTGCCCGAGTCCTCGTCTTGCCGTCTGCGGAGGTGCGGGAAGGAGATGACGTCTCCCTGACGTGCCAAGTGGCAGGAGAGCTGCAGGACGACATGGTCTACGCCTGGTACAAGAACAGCAAATGGGTCCAGGAGAGCCCCGAAAACATCCTTACACTGCCCCGCATTGCCAGTGCTGCCGCCGGCTCCTACCACTGCCGAGCCCGCAGCCCCTCGGGGACCAGCATCTCCCCGGCTGTTGCCCTGCACGTCTCCTGTGAGTGGGACCCTCCTGGGAATCAAGGCAGGGGGGGAGCAGGGTGCTGGGGATGGGATGGTGCTGGGGATGGGATGGTGCCAGCGATGGGATGGTGCCAGCGATGGGATGGTGCCAGGGATGGGATGGTGCTGGGGATGGTGCCAGAGGCGGGATGCTGAGCAAGGCCACTTGGCCACACAGGGCTATGGCTGGCACACGGCAGGCACCTTGCATAGCCCTCGCTGCTGGCACTGTCCCCAAACGCTGCGTGTCCCCTTGTAAGCAGAACTTTGCGATGAGAAGCGGTGTGGCCACCCCATGTCTCACCTGCCTGGCGTGTGGCATAAAAAGGGGGAAAAGCAATAAGAAATATTTGGGTTCCGTTGAAACAACATGTTTCAATTGACCTGAAAATACCCAAATTTTTCAAGACTTCATTTTAAGAGAAATCTCTTTCCGAAATGGAGGGAAAAATCATGGAGAGGAAAAGTCTGGCTTAAGCTTTCCTGCAAGCGTGGGCTGCTGCTGCCGTCCTGGCACTGGCTGAGAGGTGCCAGGAGCCACTGCAAACACCTCGGGGTATCCGAGGAGCCTGGGGACGGCGATGCCACCCAGGACCTGAGAGGGGGGACGGGAGCCCTCCCGGGCTGGAGCTGGAGCCAGGCATCCCGACCTCGGGGGGCTCTGGGTGCTGACTGAGGGTTTGCTCACCCTCCGTGTAATGTCTGTCCTGGGCAGATCCTCCACGGGAGCCAGTGCTGACGTCCTTCCTGGAGACCCCCGAGGGGCAGCGGGGTGTCCTGCAGTGCACAGTGGACAGCATCCCACAGGCAGAGCTGGCTCTCTTCAAGGACCAGGCGCTGGTGGCCTCCACAGCGCTGCCGCAGCCCGCCGCCCTGCCACGGCTCAGCGTCACCTTGGCCTTCAACACGCTGCGGGTCAGCATTGGCCCCGTGCTGCTGGAGGACGAGGGGGAGTACGTGTGCTCCGCCAGCAACACCTACGGCAACGCCAGCACCTCGGCGAACTTCACGGCAGGCAGTGAGCGTGGGGCTGGGGTTGCCTCTGGGGACGGGCAGGATGCGGGCAAGGGGATGGGGATGGGATAGAGCCACCGAAACTGGCTGCGCTGGAACTGGGCAGCGATGGAGATGGTGGGTTATGGTGAAGAGGTGAAGGCAAGCACTACTGGAGGATGCTCGTGGGGAAGGGAGGGCAGAGAGGAGCTGGAATAGGACAGACAGCGCAGAAACAGAGAGGAAACGGAGGAAGATGCGTGTTTATGGGGACGGAGGGCTGTGCCAGAGGTGTTCCCGGAGAGCTGCATGTATCCCCCCACACACAGCGAAGGAACTGCAGCTCCTCTGGGAGATGATGCAAAGGGCTGGCTCAGCCGTATCCATCCCCGACGCCGTCCCGGCTGTGCTCGCAGAGCCGGCGTCACCCCGGGGTGTCCTACGGCTGCCGCAGGGGTGGGGAGGGTTGGGAAGCAGGGAGGGGGCTGCAGCATCTTCATCGCCTCTTGTCTGGAATGACGGGAAAAGAGCCCCAGACAAAAATCCCAGATGGCACCAGCTCTCCCACCAAGCAGCCCACTGCCCTCCTGCCCAGCCTCCCCTCCATCAGCCCCCAGCCCACCCCGACCATCACCTCCTTCCCCTCCCACCGCAGCTGCCAGAGTCTGGATCTCCCCCTCCCCAGACATCCAAGAAGGCAACGCCGTCAACCTGACCTGCGCGGTCGAAAGTGGCGGCAGGGAAGCGCTGAGCTACACCTGGTACAAGAACAAGGTTTGGTTCAGCAGCGGCTCGGCCCCGGTCCTCACCTTCCCCAGCGTGGCTGCCACCGATGCCGCCTCCTACCACTGCGCGGTGCAGACCCCGGCACAGACCCGCAGCTCTGCCCCCACCACCCTCAACGTCCTCTGTGAGTCCCTGTGGGCAGGGGGCTTCATAGTGTGTGTGGGGGGATGTCCCTGGCACCCAGCTGGGACGGGGACCTGGCCGCGCTGCATGGTGGTCCCTTGGGGTGTCACTTGTCCCTTGGCTGGTCCCCTCGACTGGGAACCCTCCTGGGGGCATGGTCTGGAGGGGCTGGGTGGTAGCAAGGCCTGGCTTAGTTTTGGGGGGGCTCAGTAAAATTTAGCCTTTGTCCCAGGTGATAACTAAGCCAAGCTTTATATCCCAGTCCTATGTTAGACTGCCAGCAAGCAGACCTGGCCAACCAGCCCCATGTCATCTGCAGAAGATTTTGGTGAAGCTTCTCCAAGTGCCCCAAGTTTGTCCTTATGCTTTGTACCAAACTGAAACAGAAAAATCTTTGGCTTTCGGGAAACACTGCAGGATTATTTTTTTTTTCCTGATTTGGAAAATGAAAACCAGACTTTGTATAAAAAAAGACATGCAAAAAAAAAAAAAAGTGTAGTTGCAAGTCAGAATGTAAGGTTTTTTTCCTTATTATTAGAAAAAGACGGCTTTAACCTATAAATCTGCTGTGAGGAGCGAGTGTGGAGGAGCACTCCTGGAAATGTCCTCCAGAGCGCCTGACACCCCGGAAAAAAATCCGTTGCTTCTCTTCCTCCTCCTGATTTTGGATGGTGAATGCTAGATGGATGCTACTAAAACTATCTTGGCACTACGGGCCCGAGCTGCACCCACAGTCGTGCTGCCTTTGCACAAGCCTCACTGCTGGATTTGACATGCACTGATGTGCAAAGGGTATTTTTTTGTTGAGGCCGGGTTGTGAGTGGAACACCGAGCCGGGCCAGGCCAAGTGCCATGCCACGTGCTGTGCCACGTGCTGTGCCACGCTTCCGCACCCAGCTGGCGTGGCTGGAGCTTCAGGTTAGAAATGAGCTCAGCAAACGACCCTGCGCCATGTTTTGAGTGTCGGTTTGGTTCAAGGGGACCATGGACGCTGAGGCAGCGCTGCCTGAGCAGGTCCTGCATTGCAGGCAGCTGCCTGAACCGGTTCTGTATTGCAGGCAGCGGTGTCTGGCAGCAGAGCATCACCCCCCCAGCTCACAGCCCAGACCGTGTGAGCAGCCAGCCCCACCTGAGCAGCACAGGCTGGGGATGCTCCAACTTGCTGAGACGCTGCTTATCCTACAGTTTGGCTCACCCCCCCACCTTTCCTTCCCGCAGACCCCCCCAGGAACCTGCAGATGAAGGCCTTCATGGAGAGCGGCGAGGGGATGGCAGTCATCCTCCTCTGTGCCGTGGAGAGCAATCCCCTGTCCGAGATCACCCTGCTCAAGGGGGGGCAGCCGGTGGCCTCCAGCCCCCCCGCGGGAGGTGACCACCCTGGGCAGAGCGGCCACGTCTCCCCGGCTCCCAACGCGCTGAGGCTGGAGCTCCGGGAGGCTTCTGAGGAGGATGAGGGCGAGTACGAGTGCCAAGCACGCAGCCCCCTCGGCAGCGCCCGCGCGTCCCTGCCCCTCCGTGTGCAGGGTGAGTCCGGCTTTGCTGCGGGTGGGGGGACAAGGGGCTGGGGACCCCCCCGAGCGGGCTGGTGTGGGCATCAAGGGGTATGGACCAAGTAGGTGTTGCTGTTGGGCAGCAGAGCATCGGGGGGGGGGGATTGGGAACGGTGTGGGGCCGATGGCAGGGCAAGGAGGCGCTGCCGCCCACTCGGGTGGGCACCCACCCCACGCGCGCACCCCGCCGAAGGGGGACGGTGGCTTCGGAGCCGGGAAAGGCTTTTCCCAGCCGCAGCCGAGGAGGGCAAACCTCGTGCCGGTGAGGGCCAGCGGTCTCTCTCCCCAGCCGTCAGGGTGGTGGTGAGACCCTCTGCCGAGGTACCCGAGGGGACCGACGTGACGCTGACCTGCCGGGACGCGGGTGCCCACCCGGGGACCCTCTACAGCTGGTACAAGAACGGGCGGTGGCTGGCGGAGGGGCTCGACGCCTCGCTCGTCCTCCCCGCTGCCCGGCCCACGGATGCGGGTGCCTACGCCTGCCAGGTGGGGAGGGGGCTTCGCGGCCGCCGGGCCCCCCCCGCCGCCCTGCGGGTGCTCTGTGAGTGAGGGGCGGCTGCATGGGGGGG